AAAAATCAATGCAAAAACAAAGGAAAACATGAAACATTTTGGAAATAAACCATTTCCTTGCTTTTCTCTTTTCGACTACATGCTCTTTAATTTGCACAAGTTGACAGGGAATGTTACAGATATAATTTAGAGTTAAATTCTCACTATAGTTTGACTAAATGATATACCATGTATTGAGCTCAAAATATTGAAAATAACATTTTGGAAAAATTCAGCAGCATTGTGTGATCCCAGAAATATTGCAGGTGACCTAACCATAGTGGTTTTCAGTATTTTTGCCAGCGCCCACAAAAGTAGTTTGTAAATTAATACTGTTCACAGTTGTGGATTGTCCAGAGTCACAGTGCCACTGTGTTTGTCTGTTATATCAGTGATTTGGAAACGTTACTGAGAGAAAAAGACGCGAGTTGGTGGCATCTGAGCATGATTTGATAGGAGTAAATGAATAAGGCGGTGATGGGAGGAGGCAGCTTAGTCACGGAAGTCAAAGGTGATGGAGACTTCTGTTTGATTAATTTCATTCGCATTTCCTCGATGTTTTTCTCTCTACGCTGCGCATCATGTCGTCCACTGTGAAAAAGCTGGAAGTCACCTATAACCCCATCAATGACAGGAACACCTTTACCTGTGGAGACTCCATTTGTGGCCAAGTCACGCTGGAAGTGGCCAAAGACTGTCAGATAGAATCTCTGTCCGTTAAATTCAAAGGAAAAGCAGAAGTTCGATGGACCCAGAGACGTGGTCAAAGAATTATCGTGAACTACGCCAAAGACAAATACTTCAGCTTTAAACATTACTTCATTGGAGGAAAAAATCATCAGGGTAAGTCTGCTTTTCATCCTTTTCTGCTCATACAAAGATTGCAGGTTTAAATGGGGGAAAAAAGATTATTTTCAAATAATAAAACTGCACATTAAAAAAAAAGAAAGAATTATAATCCTGTGTGATCAAGAAAAAAATTAAAATGCTAGTTTGTTGCCAGCCCTGTTGTTGGCCAGTCAGCCCTCCTCCCTCTGCTGCTCTGTGCATTCAGCTGAACAAGTAAAGCCTACAATGGAAAGATGTTAAAATATAAAACAGTCTGGAAAACATAAGCTGATTCCCAGACAGAGATTATGGATGGTGACATGTAGCAAAATTCCTTATAAAGCAGTCAAGTCAATTTTCAGTGCATTGTCAAGCATACAGTGCCTACACAGAAGTGTTTACCCAGCTTGGCAGCTTTCTCTTTATATTGCTTTTCAAAATTAGGAACCTACAGAAACACACTGCTGTATTACATAGTTTTTGATACATTCATGAGTTTCTACACAGTCTCTAAAAATGAAATCAAGACACAGCAGCCTAGTAACATACAGATGATCTTTGTTCATGCTCCAACCTCCGTTTTACATGAATTCTCATGTAAATCAGCATCACATCAGTTTGCCGTTGTACATAATTCAGATGATCAAACACGTCTCTCTCTAACTACATAAAAAAAACATTGAAGACACTGATAAATAGTCAAATTATTTGAAGTCAAATAGAGTGGCAAGAGGAAGCCACTGTTGAAATAAGCTCATAATAGGACTCTGCTAGATTTCCCCAAAAACTATGTAGTACCTGAAGTGAACTGGAAGAAAACTGACATTGGGTAATATGAGATCAAAACTGAGCTTTTTGCCCGTCAGACTAGACAGGCGGATACCAGACACTGTACATCATCACAAACGTTCTATACCCACCATGAAGCATGGTGGTGGCAGCATCATGAAGCTGGGATGCTTCTCAGCAGCAGACTGTTTTATGTTTTTAATGAAATAATCCCTAAGTGAAAATTCGTTTATAATGTGAGAAAGTCCTCTTTTTTTTTTCTTTTTCTTTTCTTTTCCTTCTTTTTTTATTTAAACAAATTCAAAAAACTAAATTAAATTGATTCAGTGTTGAAAAGCAACACAAGGAGAAAGCTTCCAAAGGGGAGCACACACATAATTTAAACAAAAGACATTTCTGATAAGCTCTTGGGCAGTTTAAAGCAAACACAGAAAAGCAAACACGGTAGGATGGAAACAGTATTCTATCAAATGTCAATAAATGGTTAGAGTTATAATGGTCTCGTTTTAGCTTCTGAATTTTGAGGGCATTTCTCAACCAACAGTTAATGGATTTTTCATGAATATAAACTCTGATTTGATTGTTTAAAAAAGTAATGAATTATATAAATTAATATTCTGATTTCAATTTCTTGTTCTGTCTAAATAATGTCAGTTTCTGTTAATTCAGTGTGTTGCTTTTTGTTCAGATGATGACGAACAAACGCTCCTGCCAAAGCAGAACTTAAACACATGTAAGTATTTCAAAGTTGTGTCTTAATCTGCTGTTGGACTCACTGCTGCTTTTACTATATGCCTATGATTGTGTGTTTTCAGTCCACAGTAGCGTGAAACTGTCGTACGTTTTAAGATTTCAGTTGTTTTTTGCACAAGTAAATTAAATGTCATGTCTGCCAAGTTTCTGTTTTGTCACATTTGATGTCTTGCCTTTCCTGTTTTATTTTGTAAACACTAACCAGTTGTCTCTGTCTTAGCTTTACTTCCTGCACCTGTCTTGTCACACCTGCTTTCTGATGGCTTTCCCTCACCTGTTTCCCATCTCCTCTCATTATCTCGTGTATATTACCTTGTGTGTCTCACAGTCTCGTTGCCTGTTTGTTGCACTTTCACAGTCTTAGTACCAGTGTTCTTCACAGCCACAGCCATAGTCTGTTTGTTACGACCTCGCTTCTGTTTTTGGACCTTGCCTTTTGCCTCTTGTCTTTGATACCTTTGCCTGATCGACTGACCTCCTGTGTACCGAACCCTGACTGGTAATAATGGTAGTAATGAACCCTGTCTGAGTCAAGCATTTGTGTCCGCCTGTTCTGATCTGAGTGAGTTCTTGACACTAAACTTCAGTGACCTGAGAGCCTGAGTGCTTGTTGACCAATCCAGTGTCCCATTACAACCATAAAGAATCTCTGAAGACATGAACTAAGTTTTGCAGGTGTGCATTTCCTCTCTTCTGTTAACCATGAAGCTGTTCCTGGAAAGACACCCTTGTCTTTTTAAATCTTTCATGACGTGACGGATTCCTTTGGAGGTGTGCAGCTCTAATTCAGTAAACTGCATCATATCTGTAACCTCTAATCCAAAGGCGCCTGTCCAAACTTTTAAGAGCTGTAAACATATGACTCAGTGTAATTACTGTTTGTCTTTGCATTTTTGCTTAACTAATACTTTTACAATTTCTTCTTGTTTTTTTTTTTAGACAGCAGTGTTGTTGCCCCAGGAACCCACGTCTACCCGTTCACTTTTCAGATCCCTGATCAGTAAGAAATGTTTTAATTGATCCATAATTCATTAGAGCAGATAGACACGCTCTCAACTCAGTTCTAGATCTCTTGTTTCTGGGCAGCTTCATCAGAAGCACAGTTAGAATGTCACATGGTGTCTCTAAAAGTGCAAATGAATGTTGGCAAAATGGCCACCAAACATTTAACACAATTAAACCGAAATCATCTTGAGAGGATCTTGTTTTAGTGGAGTGTTTGCCGGCATAGAGGCGAGCACTGTCATTACAAAGCTAGTCACTTGAGTGTTACACAATTTCTTACATTTTTACGTTTCAGACCTTTTCATATGTTTTCTTCAGGGCAAACCATCACATTGTACATTGTTGAACACTGTATGTCAATACAATGTATTTGAATACATTACGTTTTCAGTCACATTTTTGCACAATATATATATATATTATACATCACATTTTACAAACACCTTCATACCTCATTCTGAGTTTTTATTAAATCCAAGGGCATAGAGGATCCTGATTGTTTGCATTGTTTTAGCTTTTGCACACTGTTTGTCTGTAGTTGTGACTCAGATGAAAATCAAATGATATATGATGAATTAATGCAGGAAACCAGTTAATTCAAAGGGCTTCCCTACTTTTTATGGTCATGTAGACTTTATTTTGGTTGGATAGATTCCATGACATCATTTAGAAAAGATGTATAAAATTGTCTCACTTTTGTCTGTCCATCTGGATTTGTGCATCAGCGATATGCCCTGCTCCTTCAGAGGTTCTGTTGGTAAAGTTGTGTACTTGCTGGAAGCCACGTTGAGCAGATCAATGAGGATTAACAAGACAGGTTCAACTACCATCAACTTTGTGTCCAAAGTAGACCCCGACAGCGTTCCTGAGCTAATGGTAGGTCCTGGTTGGTGTCAGTAAGTGACCAAAATCTGACCCTAGCACCTGCATGGACATGAACTGAGCAATCTGTTGAAGTCCACTGTAGTATTTACAGCCAATAAACTAGGACAGAGGTTCAGAAATTCCCATAAGATTGTGACGCCAAAATGAAAATGTTGAGCGTTTTCTTTTTTCTCTCTGTTGTTATTTTTTAAAGATTTTTTTGTTGTATTCATTAATCTCGTTTTCTTTCAGACGCCACAGCACGAGTGTACGGATAAGAAAATGATGGTTTTCAACTCAGGAACTGTAGCCATGGATGTGAACATTGAAAAAACTGGTTTCGTCCAAGGTGTGAGCCCTCACAGTGATATTGATATTGTTCTAATACTGAGGCTTGTTTTGACACTTCGGCTTTGTTTTGTAGGAGAAGGATTAAAGGTTGTGGCCTTCATTCAGAACAATTCATCTCGTGAGATCAAACCCAAGTACTGTGTGTACAGAAAGCACAGCTTCTTTGCAAGAGGGAAGAGAAGACTGGATACTAAAAACCTCTTTGAAGAGGTGGGCGACCCCATCCCTCCATCTTCTAATCAAAACGTCACAAGGGTCATCACCATTCCCCATGATTTGGAGCTCTCCATCCTCAACTGCAGCATCCTCAAAGTGGAGTACAGACTCAGGGTAAGCAGCTTCACAACCAGGACAGCGACTGAGATGTGTGTGAGTGCATTATGCATTGTGTGTCCTGAAAAAGTGCTCATTGACAATAGCAGAAATTGTCATCAATAAATAAACATTTCAAGTGAAACTAGTTTTTCCTACACGTCCCCAAAATACAAATTGATCTCAAAGAGCTTTGCAATTCAAATATATTTCAATACATTTTGGCTCTTTGTAGGCATAATCCTCGGTTCAGAGGACACTCGTCATGTAGTTTTGAATAATTGCGTTGGGAACTATCGTTGCATTAGGTTGTTAGGATGACATCAGCATAATGTAACCAGGACCCAATACATAGATCTGTGAGATAGTGGGGTTTTTCTAGTGGGAAGTCTTCGTGCCTTGACATACAGACGTTTACATGCGCTGTATTCAAAGACTTATAGCCTTTTTGTCTCACTATCTGACATTAAATCTGACTAAATTTTCCTGTTTTGTGCCAGTTAGTTACCAAAATGATTTCTATTTGTGAAATGCCAGAATAATGGCAGAGATTTTTTAAACTACTTTCTTTAAAGTCAGAAGTTCACATACACTAAGATTACTATACCTTTAAACTATTTGGGAAAGCCCAGATGATGATGATATCATGGCTTTGGAAGCTTTTAATAGGTTAATTGACAACATTTGAGTTAATTGGAGGCACACCTGTGGATGTATTTAAAGGCACACCTCAAACATGCTGCTTCCTTTTGTGACAACATGGGAAACTCTAAAGAAATCAGCCAAGAATTCAGGAAGACAATTGTGGACCTCCACAAGTCTGGTTCATCGTTGGGTACAGTTTCTAGATGCCTGAAGGTTCCACGTTCATCTGTTCAAACAATTATACACAACTATAAACACCATGGGAATGTCCAGCCATCATACTGCTCAGGAAGGAGACGGGTTCTGTGTCCCAGAGATGAACATATCTTGGTGCCAAATGTGCCTATCAACCCCAGAACAAAAGCTAAAGACCTGGTGAAGATGCTACTGAAGCTGGTAGGAGAGAGTCATTATCCACAGTGAAACCAGTCCTGTACTGACATGGGCTGAAAGGCTGCTCAAAGAGGAAGAAGACATTAATCCAAAAGCAACATAAAAAGCCTGATTGCAGTTTGCAAATGCACACAGGGACAAAGACCTTCATTTTTGGAGACGTGTCCTGTGGTCTGATGAAACCAAAATTGAGCTGTTTGGCCATAATGACCATCGTTACATTTGGAGGAAAAAGGGGGAAGGATGCCCACAACGCCTGACCCAAGTCATACAGTTTAAATGCAGTGCTACCAAATACTAAGGAAATGCATGTAAGCTTCTGATTTTGAAGAAAGTAAAACCAACTCTATCACATTATTCTGGCTGTTAACATCCATCCACTATCTATACACCACTTAATCCTCACTAGAGTCGTGGGGGGCTGAAGTCTATTTTGGTAATCCTAACTGACCTAAAACAGGAAAAGTTTAGTTAAATTTAATATCAGATAGTGCGTGATCCATGTATGTAAACTTCTGGTTTCAAGTGTATATTTAATGTGATCTGACTGTGTGCAAAACTTTCGTAGTAAATTTGTTGTCATGATCAATTTGAAAACAGTTTCATAGAATCAATGGAGTCTGTTGCTTTGTATTCCACTGGGAATAAACTTGGCCTTCAAGACAAATGACACAAGCTAGACTCTGCAGAACTTTCTGTTCTGGACACAGTCAGGTGTTCCTACAAGAGAGTAACCCCCCAAAAAACATCAAAAGTGGTAAAGAAATGGATACATCAGGGTCCAATTTAGGTTTTAGACAAGTGTGTCAAAAAAAGATGAAAAAGATGTTGTATGCCTGTATTCAATAAGTAAGTAAGTAATTTTTGGAGATGACAAGATATTAGGCATTGCTCTTTCTGAGAGCTGCCCTTGCAGTATTTAAAGCTGTCTGCGTTTCCCATTTCATCCAACATAACTTTCAACGAGGCTGACTGCTTATGAGCAAACCCTGTTGTCATTGTTCTCACTGCTTGCTTAAGGAGTTGGTTAAGCACACAAGGTGAGAATATACTATTTGATAAGCAATGTGCAGAACTTTTAGGTTGAAAGGTTGCTCTTCTAGAGCAAATATCCCACATTTGCCCTGGATTGTTTACTCATTTTTATTTATTTTTTAAAGAAAGTAAAGAAGAAAAAAAAGAACGAGATAAAAATTATATATAAGTATATACATGTGTTTTTGGGGGACTTCCTCAGTCTTTATGTCATTCTGTTTTTGTAGATAAGTTGTACTGTTAAAAGAAGAAAAGAAAAATCACAAAAGATCAAACCCTAACCTGAATTAACTGAACAGTAACAGGTCCTCAGACACATGATGCAGGTTGATTAAAATAAGCAAAGAAACAGCTGCCAAATTAAATGTGTTGAACTACTGACATCTTGTCACAACAATTAAAAAGCACCCCTGACATAGAAATACCAATTACTTTTGATATTGAAAAAAGTCCAACAACACAATGACAATGTTTTGCCACAGGTCTACCTCGATGTCAAATATGCTTCAGACCCAGAGATCAGATTTCCCATCGTCATCCTGCCAGCCTATCAGCGCTCC